GGAGCCGAGGTTTGGTCGAGACGTCCAGTATCTTCGCCGCACAATACATTTTGTCGAGATACTTGGGCCGTCAACATGTTTGCCTGTTGTTCTAAGAATGAATTACGAGTGATATTTATTATGCATTTTAGCACGAGCCCACTGACCTCGAGGTATTTGAAGATGAAAAAAAAAATATTTTCAGTGAAAAGAAGTACGAAAAAAAAAAAAACATTTGTCTCTGTTCGTTCCGCAAGAGCGATTCTGTGGGTTATGAAACCAATTGTATGGCATTGGGCCAGATACATGCTGTACAGTATTTTCTTGTCATATTTAAACCTCTATCCCTGCCCCCATACCCTTACATACAAAAAATGTATTTTTCTCTTACTCAAATTTTAGGTCCTGAATGTATATAATGTAAGAATGTATCAAGTTACTGAATTATCTCTGAAGAAAACACCTTCGAAGACCAATACTGTAGATATTTGAGCCCTGTTTAAGTCATCATCACCAAGAGTAATAATAATCAAATATGTTGGGTACTAAATGTGATATTTCAATGTGTCTCACATTCTTAACGTTTTTTCTCCAATTAAATTTTGTAAGAACTTAACGTGCTGCCTTTTTATCCTTCTTACCATTTTTGACAGAGGAAGTATATGCTGAGTTTACGTAAAAGGAATGTCTTCCATTTTGAGACGAAATTAGAAGTTTCTTGTGTGACTTTTTCTTTTTGTTTTTGTTTTCTCTTTATTTACCGGATTATTGGATGACGCGACTCTGTGCAGTATAATCGAAGGGAGGAAAGTGAATTTCTTTTTCATTAATGCATTTGTTATCAATTTACACATACACTGCACACACACACACATACTATATATTATATATATATATATATATATATATATATATATATATTATATATATATATATGTGTGTGTGTGTGTGTGTGTGTGTGTGTGTGTGTGTGTGTGTGTGTGTGTGTGTGTGTGTGTGTGTGTGTGTGTGTGTGTGTGTGTGTGTGTGTGTGTGTGTGTGTGTGTGTGTGTGTGTGTGTGTGTGTGTGTGTGTGTGTGTGTGTGTGTGTGTGGTGTGTGTGTGTGTGTGTGTGTGTGTGTGTGTGTGTGTGTGTGTGTGTGTGTGTGTGTGTGTATGTGTGTGTATACATATACATATATATGTATATGTATATATATATATATATATATATATATATATATATATATATATATATATATATATATATATATATATATATATATATATATATATATATATATATATATATATATATATATATATATATATATATATATATATATATATATATATATATATATATATATATATATATATATGTATATATATGTGTATGTGTGTGTGTGTGTGTGTGTGTGTGTGTGTGTGTGTGTGTGTGTGTGTGTGTGTGTATACACACAAATATACATGTATACATATACGTCGCACTGACACGAAAACACACACACACGCGCGCTAGGAACAATCTAATTGGTACTCGATCTCTAAAAGGTCACAATCCCGACTAGGATCTATTAGTTAACAAGATCATAATAATGGATTCCAAACAAAACATTTATCAAAACTCCAGAGTGAGCACTAGTGTCTGCGAAATGACGTTTGGATTCCAAACCTCCAAGTCCACGTCCCCGACGTGGACTTAGTTTCCCCAAACGTGGCTTTGGTGCTTGCCTCTTCTGTCTCCTGTCAAAGGATAAGCCAGAGATACGAAGCTTAATCTCGCCCGGGTTATACCTATGAAAGGAGCCCGACCTGTGCTGAATAATGTCGACTCAATTAGTGTGTCATCTGGTGATGACTCAATTGAGCTTAGTCCTTAACCACCGTGGCGCTCAGCTACAGCAGTAACTTCCAGGCGACACTTGCTACTTCTCGCTCCAGGACGGACCGCGAACCGCTGACCCCTCGTATAGTCTCCCCTCTCCTACGAGTGACTATGTGTCATCGCCTGGGCCTTCTTTGTACACCCTTTTTCTCTCTTACTATAGGATACTCACATTTTGCTTCATTTTTCTTGTCACTCGGTTTATAGGTATCTTCCATTTCTCTCCCTCAACACAGACAATACTTTTTATGCCGTATCAAGTCTATTATAAGTATTTATAGAATAGGTTCCTCAGGCAGCAACTCTGCTAATAAGTGTCAGAGGGTTAGGAAAATGTCCTGGAGTACAATGAATAATGACTATTTTTCCTTTAAAAGAATGCAATGACAACAGAACGCAGTGATGTTATGTCTATGAAACAAAAAACAAGGTTGCACAATGTATTATCAGAGGAATGGAACATGAAAATAAATAGGTAAAATGCAATATAGAAACACTGTTAAATAAATCATGATACCAAGAGTACACAAAGACAATGTAATTATGATTTCACATACCATAATTCATTAAAAAAAATACTAGATAGTAAATGCAAGGTCTAGTAGTCCATATACTATCAAGGTGGAATCACATCCAGAATAAAGGTGACTAAGGTGACTATTAACAGCCAAGTCTTTTGCACACACATGTATGTACACAAATGTGCACAAATGCTTAATCCCATCCCCCCCCACACACACACACAGAGGGCATAGAAGGTATGTTTCTCCACTTAAGGCTAGTTGTCTGTCAACTCAGTCCATTGATGCTGTTAGTGGAGGGAAAGGAAAGTCCTGATTTTAAATTCTATTATTTTTGCTAATAAAATAGAAATGTCATTGATGATAATAACACTATTGTAACTAAAAAATAATATTAGCAACTGTTTAAAAAAAAAGAAGAAATTCAAGGGATTCCTTAGGTCTTAAGCAGATGTGAAGCTATCAAAGTGCAAACAAAATGAATGGAACAACACCACAGAGGACAGTGCATGTATCCATTGCCAGTGGATTAATATTGGTAAAATACAGACATAAGCAATTCATTCACACAAGGCACAAGAAAGAAGTGTCACACACCCACTCTAGGGTACTCCCATTGTGTGTGGCTCCCTGTATATGGCCTTGCTTACCAGTAGCATATAGTGTACAGGACATGCTTCCCCCCAAAAATCTTGTACATTACTACTGCTATAGATGATGTGGTGAAAATCATTTATGAATAAAAAAATATTTTTACTCAGAAGAAACCATTACAGATTTCCTGCACTTTCTATGATATTAAACATGAGATCATAAGGATAGAGCCCTTTTATATCTTATCTTCAAGTCATGAGCCTTGTGAGAAAATTATGGCCAAGCTTAACCACTAAGCAGTGAAATAGTATCTTAATGGGTTATAAAATTATTGTCATTTCCATGCCCTAAAACCAGAGTCGAACCCAACACTTTCATATACAGAAATCTCTTTAGCATCTGACCTAAACCTTTGGACTGGAGCTGGGCATGGACTATCCCATACTGCCATATCCCCAGCATCATAAGGGACATATTGCATTGATGGTTGACTGCTACTTGAAGTAATAAAACACATAATTTATATACATATAATTTTAATATAAAATGGTTTTCAAAATGTACTTCTATCAAATATATACAGATATATATACAGTACAATACAATACATAGGAACTCAATACATCTCCTGTAACAAGGAAAGGGAAATGGTAACTTTGCAAATCATAAACATTTCACTCCAATATAACAATTTCTTAGGTAATTTCTTAAAACTTTCAGTGCAACTGAATGTTAATGCCCACTGTATTCTCACAACATGAAAAAATAAAAAATAAATATATATACTTCAGATTCTGAAATAAGTTTCAACATAAAAGATATGGAGAATCTAAAATTCACAATTAAGTATGTACTCAAGCGTACTCGCACAGATGGCCACATCCTGCAGGACATGACTTATTGTTGGCCACCCACTTCATCATGTGGTTCAGATGGCCCCCATGGGAGCATCCCTGGCACCATACAAACAGTCCTCTCACCATACCATGGCATACTGCACAGGCTGATGTTGGACAACCACACTGTCGAGAATTCAAAAGAAGGTTAGATCCTTGAAAGAATTAAATTAAATTATACCAGCTTTTTATTAGTCATTATACATACAGCTTTATGAAAATGCATCATTATCATGATAATGATGCATTCACAATTAAACATGGTATTTTCACTATCTTTTTCATTATTTATCAAAATTACCCCTATATGATAAAAAGTCAAAATTATCAACTCATTCCAAGAGTCCTAAACTGTAACATACCCTACAGTGATAAATAAGTATTTTACAGAACTGAAATAACCAACTAAACAAAATTGAAAACAGCCAATCCTAAGTGATTTCAATTAAAACTAACTCACTGTAACTTCAATTAAATCCAGCTATATCTACCTCCAACTACCTTTAACTTGATCTAAATTAATTAAACCTAAACTAACTCACAATAGCTTGGATGAACTCTATATCAATAAAATCAAAATCAATATCTTCCCACTAAAACTAATCTTAAATCAAGTAAATACATTTTAAATTAGTTCTGTCAACTAAATCTAAACTAAATTAAAGTCAAATGAATCTATACCTACTCCCTTTAGCATCAACTTTTCAACAAGATCAAAATCAATTTCCTCTGACCACACCTAAATCCACATTAACACCTAGCCATCAACACCTACTAACCTTCCTGCAGAAAAGACTGTTCCTTGATACAATGGACCCACACTGCCCACACTGAAGGGCAATGGTTGTGGACTGCTGGTTCTGCTGCTGAACAACTGGCAAACCTGTGTATTCTGCAAGGCAAATTGAAATATATAAATTTTAGATCTCTATTTCTCATTCATGTCTCAGTGTATATGTGACTAAGAATATGTATTTAGGTTGACAGTTAGAATTACTTCAAGATCATTCAATACTGTTTTTTTTATTTTATTTTATTTTTTTTTATTCTCAATGAATTTAGCTCAGTGTTGGAATGTACAGTTGCCTGCACTTATAACATTTTTTCTATGGCCGGCAAAAGCAGCAACTCTGGATTGAACTA